CAACTGGGTTTATTACCAGAGTCCTTTCCGTGATGCTCCCAAATTTGAAAAATCCCTACTTGATCGAATGGCCAGCAGCCATCCTCTTTCGTTACAAATCCTACAATGCTATGCGTATTTTTATTGCGCTTTCAGCTACGTTCCATCATTCTATTGATGACACTTCATTCCGCTCTATTGATGTAGATTTCCTTACCCAGCATACCCAACATCATCGCTTATCTGCGTTGAAATCAGCACTCAAATGCGCCTTTGCTCTTGCAAATGACCCTATCTATCGGGCATCCCAGTTACTTGATTGGCGAACTAAATATCAAGCAGCTCTTCCCCAGTGATTTACTTCACTCCATATAACCCCAGTACACTTATTCATAACCCTCCTTTCCTTTGCACCACGTGTTTAGGATCCGATTTCCTCCTTGTAATCGGATGGGGGTTGTAAAACCATGTTGTGCCATGACTAAAACCTCCCTGGAAAAACCATTCCAACCGACATACCAAATTCGATGACGGTTGTTTTGACGCGCCACTTTCGTATCGACCAACTGGAAAGATTTTCATCGACGGCTGAGATATAAATACTGCCTGCGCTCGGTGTTCATCGTCACTTTCGTACAAGTGAAGATAGGAACGACCGAACTTAGGTCAATAATCTTAGACTGAACGGAACTTCTTTCGTGTAGATTCAGGCCTCAGGGTCAGAGTGAAATTTCACTGAAATTTCACAAAAAATGAATTTCATTTCATTTTCATTCAGGGAAATGTTTGGAAATAAATGGAAAGCAGTGGAAAATGAAATAAAAAAAAATGAAATAATATGAACAAGGATATGATTGGAGGAGATAATGATCAAATTAGGACAAGTGTTCACTGTTTTTTATTATCATTGTATAGTCATATTTTTACACACGACCCAGCACCTGTATATCCATACAACATTTACGTATATAATTATAACACCTACTGCTACATATTTGGTGACCTTTCGTTTGACTATGGGTGACGAGTATAGCGAAAGTTTTCTAATTCCGGAAACACAGCTTGGTAGTGATGACCTGTCGGATTCGATGCCCGTAGGTCACAGTCAAGCAGTACAATCGTCTCTAGATCACGAAATGGAATCATCGATAGACGCAGAGACGATGTCTTTACGAGAGTCACAGATTATTGACACATTACCGGTAGCTGAATCACAAGGGTTTCACTACCGGACAGCGTTAGTGAATCAATAGATAGCACCAGTCTTGTTCGTCTACAGGATGCACAAAATGAAACAACAAGCATGGCATTAAATTTATTGTTTGATGATGACGATGAAGATATATATATATATATATATATATGCAAATATATTCTTTTTAATACATACCTACACAGCCTTCCAGAGGATTTCCATTTGAACAAAAAGAACAGCTGTATTTGAATTCAGTCGACATGCGTTTGAGCTCATCGACATCTCTGAAGCATTTCCCTCCATCAATTGCCAAGTCTGGTGTTTCAGTAATTGCATCGATTACTTTCCTGATTATTCGAAAAAAAGGTAGAACGAGCTATACCGTGCATAATATAAAGGCCCAAATAACTACCCCCAGCAAGACATCTCAATGTTAATTTAACCATAAGAGGTATTGAGACCTTCTGTCTATGTTTAACTTGATTACGATGGGCTGTCTTTAATTTCTCCGCCAGAGTAGGACTGAGTATGTCGACGAGCTTATTGAATGTGCCCTTGGATAATCGATAATATCTCTTGAATTTCTGGTCAGATAGAGTTTCTTGTTCATTCAGAACATCGTGACGGGTCTTGAATCTACGCCGCTTTCGCGTCGTATATAACGCAGCTCTCTGTTGTGCTACTATCGCTGTCTTGCGTGCTCTCTTAAACTGGAATAGAGTCATCGCTGTATGAAAACGACGACGATCATCTATATTCTGCTGGTTTATAGAATAACTAGTGTACTCCTCTCGCAATCGCTATCCATACTATCACTATAGTCGACATTATCGATGAAGATATCGAAATCGTCGTTGATCTCTAAAATGCTTTTAATATCTTTCTCATCATCTTCCTCTAAATCACTATAACTAGAGCTATTTGAGAAGCAATATAGCTTTCCAACATCTACCATGATCGCTATATTGTAACTAGTGTATACAAAAAAAACAAATGACTTAATAGCTATGTGCATACACAATTTATACATCGCCACCTGATATTCCATTCCTTTATCTTCGCAATCATATTCCACGTTCATTTCATATTTCACTGAAATTTTATATTTCACGAATTTTCACGAATTTTCGGCGGCAGGACTGGACGTCGAGCATGCCTGCTGTTATGGAATTATTTCCATAAATTTCATTTTTCATTTTTCATTTCATTTCAAAATTCGGCGGCAGGACCGACCCTTATCAGCCTTCACAATTATGAAATTATAGAGAAACGAAAAATCTCTTGGATTCGATGCGGCTTTCGAAAGACAAAACCGACGCATTTATCCCAGAGGCCAGCCCAGAGGGTAAATAGAGACTAGAGCGAGGGTCATGGACTCACTTAGAAAGACAGTTATTTCAATAAATAGAAGGGCAGGACGGCAGGTACTAACGGATCAAGATTTTATGTGAAAATCAAGAATCAAGATTATACAGGCAATGGAATTGGCGAAATTCATGCTTGTGATTTTTCTTCTTCAAAAGTGCCATGATTTTTCTTCTTCAAAAGTGCCATAAGGACAAACCGAGGCGGGCACTTTCGAAATGCGATCAAGAATCAAGGTTCATACTTAGTATTTGATTTTAAAACAAAAAGAAAAGCGACAATATACAAAAGCCCTAAAATCATAGCCTACTAAATAAAACACAAAAATTGATTTTATTTTGAAACAAAAAACATTAAAAAAGAGTACATATATTTTAGACTACATACATACAGTAAATAAATTCAATTTTATATAAAATACTTGAATTAAACATTTACTGAAATATGTAAATATGTACGTACATCAATCCATACACAGCCTTCTAAAATTGTATTGTTTTTAAATAAAATAAATAAATAGCAAGTACATACCCAAACAAAATATTTAGGAATGACATTAAAAGCTTTTCTCACACTCTCTAGAGATTAGAGTAGTAGTAGAGCACAAAAAACATAAATATCTATTAAGAGAATAAAACAAAACAAAACAAACAGATATTATTATAAAAAAAACAACCCACGAACACGGAACCAGTTTCAGGACTGAGACTGAAACTATTTGAATGTTTCAACACAGTCCAGCCAGAGTCCTATATTTTATATTTCAATGTATTTACTATCAAATCAATTTGGATTTTGAAAAGAATAGATTAAATAATAGAGCTCGGCAGGCGGCAGCTCCCCTAAATTTTTGTGTACTGATATGATAAGTGATTGGATGACCTGTTTGACCCCTTGCCGTTGCGTGTTGTAAAATTAATGTAAATATGCGCTTCCGCTTTTGTTGTTTTGGTTTTGCATAGCCTTCTATTTTTTTTAATTGGCTAGAGACTATAGCCAATGGATTTTGGTAAAAAAAAATCTAATCTGCTCTGAGATTTGGGAATGTGGTGCAAATATTTAGCTCTGGAGTAGCTGAGCTTCACGTAGAGTCGGGACTCGGGAGTTCGGGACGCACCAACGCAGGAGTCCAGGACTCGGGACTTTAGGAGTGTCACGCTGGTGACTGTGAGTGGTGACTGGTGACTGGTCTGTCACTCAGTCACTGCTGATTGCAACCGCAGACAGTATTGACTGTAGGAGTGTAGACTGTAGAGCGTAGACTGTAGAGTGTCGAGTCACACTGTAGAGTGTAGAGGGTAGAGTGCAGAGTGCAACACAGGCGAGTTTATAATTTAGACAGTAGTAGACTGTAGAGCAGACACCTGTGACATGATCCTAATTCCTATACGATTTTGAAAAGTCTGCCACTAAGCCAATTTTTGATCCATTTGGCTGAAATTAAACATGATTGATATTGTATCCCAAATATCACAGAAGGTTCAAAAAGCAGCTTGTGGGAGTTTTGGATGCGGTGAAACGAAAATACTATATATGCTTTTTTTGAAAGACATTTTGGCTTTCGAAATCTATAAATATTTATTATATTTGCTCCTACGAATTACCATTTTGTCACTGAAAGCGTAGCTGTAGAGTCCCTATTTCTTTTATTGAACTTGAAATCTGTCCGGAACGCTTTTTCCCCATTTGGACGCCCCCAAGAGAGGTCCCCAAGGGATCCTAAATGGATAAAAAGCATTGATATAACCAAAAAAAAGAAGAAAACAATCAAATTGCACAACCTACTGAAAATTGACAAGAAATCTATACAAATTGTGGCCCATATTTAAAAAAAATGAAAACAAACAAATTGCATAGCCTTCTGAAAATTAAACAAGAAGGCTATGCAAATTTATAAGGTGTAAATATGGGCCATGCCCATATGCGTGTGAGTGAGCGAGTGATTGTGTGTGATAGTATGCGTCAATGCATGTGTATGTATGAGTATTTGTGAGTGAGTGGCCGTGTGTTCCCGTGTGCGATTGAGGTGTGTGTACTCGTGTGCGAGTGAGGTGTGTGAGTGAGTGATTGCTTGAGTGGGTGTGAGTGAGTGGCCGTGTGTGACTGAGCAACAGTGCCTATTTGTGTGTGTGTGTTGAGTGAATGTGAGAAAGAAAGGGGGCGCGGGGGGGGGGTTCCCTCAAGATATTATCTACTTTAATTTCAAAAGAAATAAAACCTTAAATTATATAATGAGGTGCTTTATGATTCAGTCTAGACGGGTGTACACGTGAGAGAGAGTGTTATTGTGTGAGTAAGAGTGAGTGAGTAAGTGAGTGATGTGAAAGAGAGAGTGTATGGTATATATATATGTGTGTGTGCGTGCGTGTGTGTGTGTGTGTGTGTTTGTGCGTACATGTGTGTACACGTGTATAGGCGTTTGTATTAGCGGGCGCGTGTGAGTGAACGCGTTTGTGGTTGAGTGAGCGAGTGTGAATGAGTGAGTGAGTGAGTGAGTGTGGATGCGTGTGTATGTATGAGTGTTTGTGAGTGAGTGAGTATGTGTGTGAGTGTGTGTATATGAGTGAGTGTATACGATTGTGTGTACATGAGTAGGCGTGTATGATTGAGCGTGTGTGCATTAGCAATAGTATGTATGTGTATGTGTATGTATTGAGTGAATTTTGTGAGTGTGTTGGTATGAGTGGGTGTGGGTGAGTTAGTGTGTGTGTGGGTGTGTGAATGTGTGGGTGTGCGGGTGTATGAATGTGTGATATGAGAGTTTGTGTGCGAGGAGTGTGTGTGTGTGTAAAGAGTGTGTGTGTGTGAAGAGAGTGTGTGTGTGAGGAGTGTGTGTGTGTGTGTGTGTGTGTGTGTGTGTGTGTGTGTGTGTGTGTGTGTGTGTGTGTGTGTGTTGTGTGTGTGTGTGTAGTGTGTGTGTGTGTGTGTGTGTGTATGTGTGTGTGTGTGTGTGTATGTATGAATATATATATGTATACATATTTATATATATATGCACAACTGTCATAGTAAAGAGCCTATCTCATAAAGAGAAAAGAAGATATACATGTAACATCTAACATATCGGTAAATACGTACGAGTTTTCCTGAATTTATATACGTTCCAACACACACCTGTCGTAGAAGTGTGGTCGTGGCTCTCCCACCACTTTCGCAAACAATTGTTGGAAGAACTGTTGGAAGAAGAAGGACGCCAACCCATCAAGCAGGAAATGTATCAGCGAAATCATCGACAGCAGATACGACCCGTTGTCACTGCAGCCCATCCGGCGAGTGTTCATAGTGTGCGGGCATTAATGTGTGCATACATATAGAGGCGAGTGTTCATAGTGTGTGGGTAATAATGTGTTCATACTTTTAGATGATGGTGCGGATGAGGCGTCTGTGGAAGTGCAATACCACACACATGCGAACTGTATGCCACCTAAAACACTAAACCCTAACAGCAGGCCGTCCACTATGGCAGCTCACACAGTGATCAGGTGAGTGCTCGATATCGCCTGTACATTGGTAGCACACGGGAAGCGTCACATGGTGTCGAATGCATGAACACAGAACTTGATATGCACTATCTCACAAGCACTTCACATGTACACAGATACATAACACATGGATCACAGTTACGCATTAAAATAACTCGCACAAGTCATCACAGGGCAGGCAGCACGACCACGACAGCACAAGTTGTGATCAGGTGAGTGCTATACAGCTCCGGCTGCACACGTAGGCACGTGGGGGAGTATACCTACACAGCACTGCCTATACCTACCTCACACCTACACAGTACTGCCTATACCTACCTCACACCTACACAGTACTGCCTACACCTACCTCACACCTACACAATACTGCCTATATCTACCTCACACCTACACAGCACTGCCTATACCTACCTCACACCTACACAGCACTGCCTATAGCTACCTCACACCTACACAGTACGGTCTATACCTACCTCACAAGCATGGACACGCACACAGCAGACCTCATCATACCTCCTCATGACCCACAACTCGAAGACGCACAGATTGAGCCAAAACAACATGATGGGCACTATAATGGCCGCCCACGCAGGGATCAGATTAGTGTTGTACGGCTTCAGGTACCACGTGTCCATGGTGTCACGTGGGGGGGTGTCACCGGTTTCAAAGGTATACACAAAGTATTGCCTGTCCCCGATAAAGAAGTAGAATACGCCGGTCGCCAGTATGAAGAGAAGGGCGACCAGGAACGACCCCCAAAGCTGTGCGGCGGTGCAGGTGGATACGGTTTCAGTTTCGAATGATACCAATTTAGGGTTTTAGGGTTTTAGGGTTTTAGGGTTAGGGTTAAACCCTATCGATACGATAAATTGTCAATTGGTGGGCTTTGCGGCGTGTACACGTCTGTTATCTTTGTAATCTTCTGCCAGTTTAAATAGTCGGTGCTGTTGTTGTTGTATATTCGCTTGAGTGCCAACGTTGAATTTAGAAACAAACAAAACAAACACAAGAATAAGAGCACGTGAAGGTCAACGTAGCACACCATAGCTCGATCGTGAAAACGGAGATACACGGCTGAAACCAGCTCCAAAACAGTTCGATTTGGCACGAAACTCGTCTCTCCGTCTATAATTGCAAAAGGGCACAGTTCCTAATGATAGTGACATGACAGACTCACACCAGCATATGCCTTCCACACACACGTCCAGACTTGCGATACATCATTACAATTGTTAACAACTCTATTGACGGGGCAGTTGGGTCACGACGAACTATGTTTCCGGCGTGGGCACGCGAGGTGTGACTGTGACTTCACGCGCCAAATGCATTTGTGGCAAACCCAACACACACATCAGACCATACAATCCGATAAGAACAGACACACTACCGATATAACACGCACCCGCCTGGATATGGTAGTAACACGCCTGTAGCGAAACTACTATATGCATGTGACCACTCCACGTGGTGTTGCTTATTTGACATATTACTTATTTGACATATTAGTTATTTGACACAAGTTATTTGACATATTAGTTAGTTATTTGACATACTAGGACGAACTCACCTGCCGTCTGAAAACGATGCGCCAGAAGGTCCAGTCAAGCAGGACCTTCCCATCGTATCCCCGTTGATGGTAGTAGTAGTGATCCCTGCCTGCGCACGGGCCAATGACGGTGTATGAGCACACTAGTGCGAGGCAATCCTAATTGAAACGCTTAATCCGCTATGAATTAACAAATTTAAACTCGAATATCCATGACATCTTAATATACATTAACATGAATTGCCCCGAGTGATGCATATATTGGTTTGCTCACGTGTTCGAATATCCATGACATCTTAATATACATTAGCGCGAATTGCCCCGAGTGATGCATATAATGGTTTGCTCAAGTGTTCGAATATCCATGACATCTTAATATACATTAGCGTGAATTGCCCCGAGTGATGCATATAATGGTTTGCTCAAGTGTGTACCTGTGTCCGTGTGAATCAAACACCATATAAATCAAGATGTAACGCGTACAACAACCGCAGTAGATCACTGGCAGTGCAACTAGCTATACGTTACCAAGCAGACAACACCACACCTCAAAGTAGCGCCAACACGGAGCAATACGTATTAATTATTTGGTGCGCAAATTAATCTATGTCAACTACTGTGCCAACTATATATTTGTTTTGAGGCGTACGGCCTTTCATGGTATGTTTGCACTGCCGCTGTGTTGATGATCTGAACGAATTCGCTCACCCGTGGCACTCGCGCCGGGTCAACACCCGTTGTGTACAAACTGCGCTCGATCCATATCTGGACTAATAATCGATTCGTTTAAATCAACCAAGTTTATATCAAACAATCCTGAGAACATAGTCATTCTCGGTAATATTGTGTAATATATAAAGCAATGCCTTGTCGTCAATCGTGCGAGACATACACTGGTGGTCAATGTCCTTCCACTCCTCAACTGCATGGGTCGGGAAGTCCGATATTGAGGAATCCTCTTCTGTGGTATGCACACGGGACGAATGGGACACATTCTGCGAAACAATGATGCAAGAGAAGTATATCGTTTAGTACACGCGCCTGCAGTAAGAACGGGTCTCTATACTATTTGGGTAGATGACGTGACAAGCACCTGCTCAGCGACAGCACAGAATAGTTTACTGGCCAAAAATGAAAATGACTTATCTTTACGAAATGAGAAATGGAATGCATAGCGCAATGATAGCCAAACATACGATTACATATATATATATATATATATATATATATATAA